CAATGATGAGAATCATTGATCGACTGCCTCCTGCATGCCCCACCCTGGAGATGGAGCCCGCAACCAGGGCATGTGCCCTGACCGGGAATCAAACTGACCTCCTGGTTCATAGGTCAACACTCAACCACTGAGCCATGCCAGCGAGACTCAAGGTGAATGTCTTAAGCTGCAGGGGGACGACTCAGTGGTGAGCTGGGGTTTCCGTATAAGCCGCTCATACTCTGGATCCCCAAGAGAAGTGTCCACTGGGAATACGCCCAATACATGCACTGGAATATTTTATTAGTTTATTTAACCCGACAATTGTATCCTCCCACAAGCTCGTCCTTGAACCCTGGAGACGTCTCTCTAGCATCAGGGCCTCAGTCTCGCTCGGGGCTCCAGCTCCTGAGCCCAAGTGCCCACTGCGCGTGCCTATGGGCCCTTTCTAGATCCCGAGAGACAGGCCCCCGGGACCAGGCCTGATGAGAACTGGCGGGACACCCATCCGCAAGGCCAGGCGCTCCTGTGCGGGGAGGTGGGGGCGATGGGGAGACGAGGTGGTTTAGGAGGTGGCCTTGGCTTGCAAGGGCTTTGTGTTGCTGAGGGGGGTGGGTGGGGGAGAGGGCAGAGACACTGCACAGACTGAGCTGTGAGTCCCTGAGAGAAAGAGCCCAGGGCAGAGGACCTTCTAGCTCACAGCTCACTCCTCCCTCTGTTCACAGGGACACTGCCTTCCTGGTTGCCCTCTGCTCACCTGCAGACCGCAGCCCCCTTCACGCACCAGCCAGCACAGCTCCGCCAGGCTGCCGGTGGCAGCTGCGTCGTGTACCGGGGTGGCCCCGTTGTGGGCCCGCTGGTTGCCGGGGCAGGGTGCAAGTGGGGGGGGGACAGGCCTTGGGGATTGGGCCACAAGCCCTGCCTGAGCCACTCCCGCTGTGCTGAGTCGTGGTGGGGAGAGGGCACAGGGTACAGGGGAAGGGCTCACAGTGTTGAGATCAGGGGCTGGGCACCGGCCAGTGGACACTGCCCCTCGCTGGGCCATGCCTCTTCCTCCCGTGGGGCGAGGACCGAGGATATGTCTCAGCCTGGGATGAACTTCCCACATCCAGCCGCAGCTTAGTTGCAAGATCCTCTGAAGAAAGCAGCAGGCCCCCAGCGCCTGCTCCCCCAGCCCGGGCAGCAGCCCTGAGCCCGTGCGGGCCTGAGAAAGCCACTTGGGAGATTTGTCACGGGAGGGCAGACCCATCCACAATGGGGCCGTTTCCGGGGAACTTACCACCAGGAGTGTTGGGGTCTAAATCGTCATACAAGGAGTCTCCCCACCTGGAAACCTATGGTGGGTCCTGGCCCTCAGCTGACTGCGCAGGGCCAGCCTTGGGCACAGGGTGGACACTGGACAGGAAGACCCCAAGGGAGACCAAGGGTTTGGAGGCCCCGCCTCAGCCCACCCACCAACCAGTGACCGAGTCTGAGGGGCTGCAGCTAACGGTCTCAGGTGCATATTTCAGAGCCACAAGGTGCACTTCCCAGACCTGGAGCTGGGCACCCACAGCCTCCCTGGAGGGGGACACTGCACATCAGGCACCTGCCTTCCCAGGGCTTCCAGGACAGTCTCAGGTGATTGTTATTTTTTAAAATTGATTCCAGAGAATAAGGGAGAGGGATAGATAGAAACACCAATGATGAGAATCATTGATCGACTGCCTCCTGCATGCCCCACCCTGGAGATGGAGCCCGCAACCAGGGCATGTGCCCTGACCGGGAATCAAACTGACCTCCTGGTTCATAGGTCAACACTCAACCACTGAGCCACGCCAGCCAGACTCAAGGTGAATGTCAAGCTGCAGGGGGACGACTCAGTGATGAGCTGGGGTTTCCATATAAGCCGCTCATACTCTGGATCCCCAAGAGAAGTGTCCACTGGGAATACGCCCAATACATGCACTGGAATATTTTATTAGTTTATTTAACCCGACAATTGTATCCTCAATGTCATCGTGTAGTTCTTGGCGCCTTAAAACTGCACATTAAAAGTGTGAATTAAAAAATCGTTCCTATGTAAAGTCTGTGTGGACATGACATTTGAAGTGTACCAGAATCCCACAGAGCATTTGGGAGGACAGAAGAACTCTTCTGCAGGTAAAATCAGGTGAAAGCTGAGCGAGGGAGGAACTGGTTTCCACCTTGGGAACAACCTAGTCACATGGGCCTGGCCACCCCCAACTCAGTGCCCTGTGAGCTGAGACCCTGAGTAAGCGATCTGAGGGGAAAGACAGGAGGGCCCTGAGGACTCTGGGTGGGGAGGCCCGAGTCCTGAGTGATGGGCAGGGCTGGGAATGGGGAGACCTGGGCCTGGCCGTCTGGAAAGGGCTGCAAACACAAACGGGGTGGCTGTGATTGCAGCAAAGACCAGGCTTCCTTTCCTATTTTCATGATAACAACAATCCTATATAATAAAACCCTAATATGCAAATCAACTGAACGACGAAAGGACTGGTCGCTATGATGTGCACTGATCACCAGGGGGCAGATGCTCAACGCAGGAGCTGTCCCCTGGTGGTCAGTTTCTACATGGAGTCAGAAGCTGGGCTCATGGTTGGCAAGTGCAGCGGTGGAGGCAGGAGCCTCTCCCGCCTCTGCTGCAGGCGGGTGGTAAGAAGCGAGGGGTCCTGGACTGTGAGAAGGCACAGGCCAGGCTGAGGGACTCCCCCCAGTGCACGAAATTTCGTGCACCGGGCCTCTAGTCAATTATAAATACTAGGACTTCATCTTCCTGATAAAAATGCCACCTTCTATGAAGGGGGTACTCGCTTCCTAGCGGGAGTGTGGGCACAGCCAAAGCGTCTCCACTTCAACCCGTGCCACTGGGCAGCAGTGACAGCGATAGGCCCACGCAGGTGTGTGTGTCCCGGGCCTGTATGCCTGGGGAACCTGCTCCACACTGACCCACTTAGAGAGGGAGCTGCCGCCCACTCCGACTCTGCAGGGAAGGCGACCCTGGCACAGGCCTCGGAGGCTTCCTATGAGGTGGCCTTGACACTAGGCCTGGCCCTCCAGCCGGGCCACGGCCTGCTTCAGGTCCTGCACTACGAGGTCCACCTCGGCCCGGGTGGTGCTGCGGCCCACGCTGAGCCGAAGCGCGTTCCTGGCCACGTCAAAGGGGATGCCACAGCTCAGCAGCACTGGGGATGGCCTGCAGGGGCAAGAGACCAGCATTAGCGTCACAGAGAACAGACAGGGAAGGGCCCGGCCCCTCTGCTCTTGGCCAGCTCCCCACCCCCTCGGCAGACATCCCCCGGCCACCGTCTTCCAGGTCCAGCTCCAAAGCCTCCCTGGTTCTCCAGACACCGGGCCTCTCGTGCCGGAAAGTCCCGCACGGTCAGTCCTGTGGCTCTCCCAGCACAGAGCCTCAGCCCCCAATCCTAACATGCAGGGTTTCCAGGGCTCGGAGACATGCAGACACACACACACACACACACACACACACAGCGGAGCGTCTTGCATCCACAGTGCTTGAGGCTGTGGCGTACCCAAGTGTTTTGGGGTTTCACAGCACACAGCACAAGGCTTTTTGCACATGGGTCCAGCCTATATTTATGGATGGAGGCAGTTCTGAAGCTGGGTGTGTGAGGCTCGCGGGGGTCCTCAAATCCTCAAGCAGGCTCCGCCTTCGTAGGCCACCTACAGGCCAGGGGCCCAACAGCAAGGCAGCGTGGGCTGCTGGACTTCAGGGCCTGAAACCCCCAGATCCAGGCCACCGTGTACAGACCAGGCAACGGGTGATTTCATCACCTCCAGTCACCCAGCCTCAGAGCCGGAGATCTCTGCAGCCGATCCTGTCACAGCTGAGAGGAGGACCACGCTGGGCAGTGACAGCACAGCTCTCCCTGGCTGGGTGACCTCACTTCTGTTCCAGGAGGCACCACCACAGGGCCCCACCTCTACCCACAGGGCAGTGGGCACCTGCCTCCACCCTCTTC